CGGAGTATGATAGGTCCGGGCGGCAGGTAACAGCTGCGAAGAGAAGGCATCCCAGCTTTCTCTTGTAGTTGCGTATGCTGGCGGGTTTTAGTGGAGTGGATTCTTCCTTGTGACTTCCTGCCGTGTAGCGGTATGGCGTAGAGATGATGGTAGGTGTTAGTGAGAAACGTTTAGCTATGGTGTCGGCGTACTTCGCAGCGTTGAGGTAGATTGCGCTTTCCCCTTCCTGGATATTTAGGCCGAGGTATTGCGTGACGGTACATGAGACAATGAGTGTGAGATCTCTCTGTAACTCCCCTTCGAACCAGGTAGTAACGTTGTCGGTCGATCCGATGTAGAGTAGATCATCTACGTAGACGATCAATAGAATGTAGTCGTCGCCTTTCGTCAGCCGGTACATGCCTTGGTCGTGAGGTAGTTGCCGGAATCCGATGCGAGTGAGTCGAGCGTGTAGGTACTGCTGCCATAGTCTCGGGGCCTGTTTGATCCCGTACAGGGATTTTTGCAGCTGACAGACTTGATTGGGCTCTCCGTGGGAACCGTGTGGGAGTTCGACGTAGATTTCTGCGTCGACAGGTGCATAGAGAAAAGCGTTGGCGACGTCGATTTGCCGCAGTTTCTTTTCCTTCATAGCGGTGATCGCGAGAAGAATCCGTAGTGAAGTTTGTCGGCTGACCGGAGCGAATGTCTCGGTGAAGTCACGTCCATGCTCTTGGTCGAAGCCGCGTACGACCCATCGTGCCTTGAACTTGTCAATGGTACCGTCTGCTTTCGTCTTCACACGGAAGACCCACTTCCCGGTGAGTATTGTCTTGTTTTGTGCCACGCTGATAGGGACCACTTTCCAGGTGTTGCGCTCCTTCAGTGCTTTGAGTTCCCTGTCCATGGCTTCACGCCATTTTTCCCTATGTTCCCCCCCCAGAGCCTGCTGAACTGTGGCAGGCTCCTTAGGAGTTTCGGTGCCGTGGACTGCGGTGACTAGTCCGAGTATCTGAAGGCCACTCTGTGTGTAGCGGGGGAGTGTTGTGTCCTCGGGATAAGCTGCTTCGTCACCTGCTTCTGGGTCAGGTATGAAATTGGGCCCTATGCGTTCTGCTTCGTTGGTGTTGACTTCTGCAGGTGTAACGTAACCGGTGTCGGCGAATTCGAAATAAGTTTCGGCGTTGACACTTTCGCGAGGATTTTCGTCGTCCATCTGGATAGGCACGGAGCTGTATGGGAGTGGTCCTGCTTCTTCCGAGGCGTTATCCACGTTCTGCTCGTCCCAGTCAGCTTCGTCTGCTGCCGAGGCGAAGTGTCGGTCACCACGGAAGCCACCTGTGGGATCCAGATTTTCTTCCAGGTTGGCAAGATACGTCGGAAGGGTGAGTCGTTCGTAGAAAATGACGTCACGTGCTGCTACTGTTTCTTTGGAGTGGACGTCGAAAATCTTCCACGCGTTGTAATTCTTTTCGATGCCCAAGTGTAATCCCCACTGTGCCCGTTGAGAAAATCGGCCGGCTCGTGCAGATGGGGGTCGGTACTGTACCATGCAGCCGAAAACTCTTAAAGCTTTTGTATACATTTGAAAGAGGGAGGTTCAAAAGTTTTGAATTTTGAAATACTGGTAACCCTATTAGAGCTAGTTCAGTCTCTGAACGAGGGAGGGAGATCTCCCCAACACCCAGCACTCGCTGGTGATTCAAAACTTTTGGGTTGACAAAAGTATACGAATTCCAGCCTATGTGAGATCTACGCCACTACGCTCTACAGGCAGCATAATACGTAGCTGAGCACATCGCGACTCAACAGCCAGCGCAAATTACCCCCGTTTCCGACACAAACCTAGACGCGTGGGGCAGTTTAGTGTAATTATAGGGATAAACCAACGTCAGTCCCGCCCTCTCACGCGGCGATCCCGTAGGACCTCCTCTCATGGCCTCGCCTCGTCGTCCGTCGTGCCGCCTCACGACGCTGCCTCCTCACGCCACCGTGAACGCGCACGACTCGTCTCAAACTGCCGAACACGATCAAAGTCGCGGCCCGATCGCACAGCCTCGCTACCACGTTTCTGCACTAGCCCCGGCAGCCGCACTTGAATACACGAACGACTGCAGAAACGGGAGCTTCCAACCCCTTCCCGCCTCCTCGTTTCCCTTCTCGCCACCCCAATTCGCGACAACGCCTCCCCGTTTCCCCTTTCCGCTCCCCAGTACCCCTTCCCGCCTCCCCATTTCCCCTTCCCGCTTCCCACCTTCCCCTTCCCGCTCCCCGTTTCCCCTTCCCGCCTCTCCGTTTCCTCTTCCCGCCCGCCCCCCATTACCCCTTCCCGCCTCCCCGTTTCCCCTTTCCGCTCCCCATTACCCCTTCCCGCCTTCCCGTTTCCCCTTCCTGCTTCCCCAATTCCCATTCCAACCTCCCCGTTTCCCCTTCCCGCTCCCTATTTCCCCTTCCCGCTCCCCGTTTCCCCTTCCCGCCTCTCCGTTTCCTCTTCCCGCCCGCCATTACCCCTTCCCGCCCCCCCGTTTCCCCTTTCCGCTCCCAATTACCCCTTCCCGCTTCCCCGTTTTCCCTTCCCGCTCCCCATTACCCCTTCCCGCCTTCCCGTTTCCCCTTCCTGCCTCCCCAATTCCCGTTCCCGCCTCCCCGTTTCCCATTCCCGCTCCCGATTTCCCCTTCCCGCCTCCCCGTTTCCCCGTCCTGTTCCCGTTTCCCCTTCCCGCTCCCGATTTCTCCTTCCCGTTCCCCGTTTCCCCTTCCCACCTCCCTGTTTCTTCTTCACACCTCCCCGTTTCCCCTTCCCACCTCCCTGTTTCCCCTTCCCGCTCCCCATTACCTCTTCCCGCCTCCCCGTTTCCCATTCCCGCTCCCCATTACCCCTTCTCGCCACCCCATATCCCCTTCCCGCCTCCCCATTACCCAGTTTCCCTCCTTTCTCCCTCTCGTTACCCCCCCTTCTCCCTCTCGTTTCCCCCCCTCCCCCTCTCGTTTACCCCCCTTCCCCCTCTCGTTTCCCCTCGTTCTCCCTCTCATTTCCCCCCTTGCTCACTCTCATGTCCCCCCTTTCCCCTTCTCATTTCCCCCCATTCTCGCTCTCATTTCCCCTCATGCTCCCCATCATTCCCCCCCTTTCCCCCTCTCGTTTCCCTCCCATTCACCTGCTCATTTCCCCCCCTTCTCCCTCTCATTCCCCCCCCCCCCTGCTCCCTCTCATCTCCCCCCCTTCTCCTTCCCGTCTCCCCCCCTTCTCCCTCTCGTTTCCCCCCCTTCTCCCTCTCATTTCCCCCCCTTATCCCGCTCATTGCCCCCCTTTCTCCTTCTCATTTCCATCCGTTCTCCCCCTCATTCCCCCCATGCGCCCCCTCATTCCCCCCTTTTTCTCCCTTTCATTTCCCCCCCTGCTCCCTGTCATGCCCCCCCTTTCTCCCGCTCATTTCCCCCCTTCTCCCTCTCATTTCCCCCCCTGCTCCCTGTCATGTCCCCCCTTTCTCTCGATCATTTCCCCCCTTCTCCCGCTCATTTCGTCGCCTATCGAGAGGCCGCGCCTCCCGATAGTAAGCGACAAGAGGCCGCACTGAAACTGCCGGTCCGCCATAAGTCTCTCCTCATCCCCCCCGCTCGTCATCGCAAGGGAAGGCACCATCGCACGATCGTCGCTTGTCGCGTGGCCCACTGCGGCATCGCCCTGCCGCACAGGTTCCACACAATGCATTACCCTTCCCCTCCCTGCATTACCCTTCCCCTCCCTGCATTACCCTTCCCCTCCCTGCATTACCCTTCCCCTCCCTGCATTATCCTTCCCCTCCCTGCATTACCCTTCCCCTCCTTGCATTACCCTTCCCCTCCCTGCATTACCCTTCCCCTCCCTGCATTACCCTTCCCCTCCCTGCATTACCCTTCCCCTCCTTGCATTACCCTTCCCCTCCCTGCATTACCCTTCCCCTCCCTGCATTACCCTTCCCCTCCCTGCATTACCCTTCCCCTCCCTGCATTACCCTTCCCCTCCCTGCATTACCCTTCCCCTCCCTGCATTACCCTTCCCCTCCCTGCATTACCCTTCCCCTCCCTGCATTACCCTTCCCCTCCCTGCATTACCCTTCCCCTCCCTGCATTACCCTTCCCCTCCCTGCATTACCCTTCCCCTCCCTGCATTACCCTTCCCCTCCCTGCATTACCCTTCCCCTCCCTGCATTACCCTTCCCCTCCCTGCATTACCCTTCCCCTCCCTGCATTACCCTTCCCCTCCCTGCATTACCCTTCCCCTCCCTGCATTACCCTTCCCCTCCCTGCATTACCCTTCCCCTCCCTGCATTACCCTTCCCCCCTCTTTTTCACGATCCTCCTGCCTTTCCCTCTTCTCCCCTCTCCTGCTGCCTTTCTCTCTTTTCAGCTCTCTTCCTACCTTTCCCTCATTTCCCCTCTCTTCCAGCCCTTCCCACTTTTCTGCAATCTTCCTGCCTTTCCCTCTTTTTTCCTCTCTTCCCCATCTCCCACTCTTGTCACCAAACCTCTGCGTCCCACCTAATCCTCCGTTCCTGCCTCTCCACCTTTCCATCCTGTTTTCCCATCTCTCCCCCCTTTGTTACCGCTTCGAGCAGGACAAGTTCGGGTTCAGCAGAGGGGAGCAGCATCAGACACAAGTGTTGGACAAATGATGACCAGCTAGAGCAGAGGACAGCCCACCATGTATCTTGAGTTGTGTACAACACACGTCACATGTCGCATACAATGCTGTGCTGTGCCCATATGCATCATGCAAGGATGCTGTACGCAAAGAAGGGAAGTTGTGTCTAGGTACAGTCATCAATATTTTGAATAAACTGATGTATTATGGCATGCTATGCTATCAATTGAATTGATTGATACGCTAACAGCACACACAAGCTGGAACTTCCTGCCTAGTTATTTGGTTTCACTAAGCTGCAAAGAGCAGCACTCAGAATGAGAAGGGCTGATGTCTTTTGTGTTGTGCACTTGAAAAAAACAAACAAACAAACAAATAAACAAACAAACAAACAAAATTACAGACAAGGGCAAGCTGCAGAAGAAACAGAGGGTAAGCTGGAGGGGAAGGGAGGGGAAGCAAAGGGAGAGCAAGGGTTGCACGGGGGGGAGTAAGGAAGGGTAAGCAAAGGGGGGAGGAGGGGAAGGACTGTGCAGCATGTGAGGGCGCTGCAGCTCCCTCTCGCGCGCCAGCAGCATGAGCGCACTCACCGGCCGGCAGGGTGGGGGCAGGGAAGGGTAAGGAAGGCAAGGGAAGGGCATGGCAGGGCAGAACAACGTGTGAAGAGAGGAGAGGGAGAGAGGCATGTAGGGAAGATATGCAGCAGTGGTGATAGGGTAACACGTGAGAGGCTTGAACTCAGTGGGTGGTGTGAGGTGCAAAGCTGATTGTGTGACAAATGGAGAGCTGACGAGCGCATTCGTGAGCAGACGCGGCAACATAAGAGCAAGGGCGGATCACTCCAGCGCAAACGATTTGTCCCTCTATGCCTGTGTGCGCCGCACACAGTTTTGCACTCACCCGAACCCTCCTCGAGGGAAATGGGGGGAAGGAGGGGAAATATGAGGGAAAGGAGAGGGGGGAAATGAGGGAAAGGAGAGGGGGGAATGAGGGGAGGGAGAGGGGAAAATGAGGGGAAGGAGGGGTAAAGGAGGGGACGGAGAGAGGGAGAGGAGAGGACGGATAAGGGGAAATGTGGGAAACGAGAGTTGGGGATTTTGTGGAACGAGAGGATGAAATGAGGGGAGAGGGGGAAACGAGGGGACGGAGTAGGGGAAATGCGAGAAACGAGATGGGGAGATGAGGGTAAGGAAAGGGTGAATGAGGGGAAGGAGGGCGACATGAGGGGGGAAAGCGGGGAAATGAGAGGGGGAAGGGGGGAAATGAGAGGGAGAAGTTGGGGAAATGAGAGGAGGGGAAACGAGAGGGGGAAGGGTGGGAAACGAGAGGGGGAAGGGTCGGAAACGAGAGGGAGGAGGGGGAGAAATGAGAGGGGGAAGGGGGGAATACGAGAGGGGGAAGGGGGGAATACGAGAGGGGGAAGGGGGAGTTACAAGAGGGAGAAGGGGGGGAAACGAGAGGGGGAAAGGGGGGAAATGAGAGGCAGAAGGGGGGGGAACGAGAGGGAGAAAGGGGGGAAACGAGAGGGAGGAGGGGGGGAGACGAGAGGGGGAAAACGGGGAAATGAGAGGGAGAAGGGGGGAAATGAGAGGAGAAGGAGGGGAAACGAGAGGGGGAAGGGGGGGGGAAACGAGAGGGAGGAGGGGGGGAAATGAGAGGGAGAAGGGGGGGAAACGAGAGGCGGAAGGGGGGAAAATGAGAGGGAGGAGGGGGGAAACGAGAGGGAGAAAGGGGGGAAACGAGAGGGAGAAAAGGGGGAAACGAGAGGGAGGGGGGGGGGGAATGAGAGGGAGAAGGGGGGGAGACGAGAGGGGGAAAACGGGGAAATGAGAGGGAGAAGGGGGGAAATGAGAGGAGAAGGAGGGGAAACGAGAGGGGGAAGGGGGGGGAAACGAGAGGGAGGAGGGGGGGAAATGAGAGGGAGAAGGGGGGGAAACGAGAGGCGGAAGGGGGGAAAATGAGAGGGAGGAGGGGGGAAAACGAGATGGAGAAGGGGGGGAAACGAGAGGCGGAAGGGGGGGAAAATGAGAGGCGGAAGGGGGGGAAACGAGAGGGTGGAGGGGGGAAACGAGAGGGAGGAGGGGAGGAAACGAGATGGAGAAGGGGGGGAAACGAGAGGCGGAAGGGGGGAAGATGAGAGGCGGAAGGGGGGGAAACGAGAGGGAGAAAGGGGGGAAACGAGAGGGAGGAGCTCCGGGAAAATGAGAGGCGGAAGGGGGGGAAATGAGATTGAGGAAACGAGAGGCGGAAGGGGGAAAAATGACGAAATGGGTTATGAGCCGAGCAGCGCGTGAGGCGAGTATTGTGCCGATTCGCAGGTGAGGCATGCGGCGGGTGAGGCGAGAAGCGGGTGACGAGCTAAACAGATTTCGCGAGCACCGTGTTTGGCGAGGAGCGGGTATCGCGATCAGCGGGTTCCGCCATCAGCGGGTATCGCCATCAGCGGGTTCCGCCATCAGCGGGTTTCGCCATCAGCGGGTTTCGTGATGCATGATGGCGCTAGGCGAGAAGCCCGTAGGTTGGAACGCGACGGCTCACTGAATAATTTATCGCTGGTTCGACGATTTCATCACCCTGGAGCCAGCATAATGCAACTCGTCGAGGCGCTCGCCGTTTGCCGCATGGCATCGCTCGACGAATGCTACGCGGCGGCCCATCCGAATGCACACCGCCCCTGCAGCTAAAGGCGTTTGTATAGCCCCGTGTCCCCTTACAACGGGCGATTAGGTCAGGGTGAGTAGTTGCGCTGCTAGTTCTATGCTGGCCTTTCCTAGTAATTAGTTGCTTATACTTGTGTTTGTGAGCCCAACCTCAAGGGTTGGGTGACGGGAGAGTTTCTCATGTTCCCACCCCTCAATCCTCCAAATTTTCGCAACCCCTCTCGCCAAGCCCCTTTCTTTTCGTTGGGGCGAAATCTTGGTGGCTACTGTTCCACCACAAACAGTACTTTCAAATGTATACAAAAGCTTTAACATTTTTGTGCTGCCCTGTTTTCCTGTCCACAGCAGGTGCGGTGATGCGTTGTTCGGTAGTGACGACGACGAAAGCAAGTTGTGCAGCATGACAGCGTGGTCCATCGCTTCAGGCCACTGGTGATTAGGCAGTCGCATGCCACGCAGTAATTTGCGCATGGTGTTCTGGAGAGTTCGATTCATCCGTTCCGCTACGCCTTGCTGTTGATGGGCGTAGGGAAGCGAGATGAGCCTCTTGATTCCCCTTTCTGCCAAGAACTGCTTGAATCTCTGTGAGGTGTATTCTCCTCCTCCGTCTGACTGGAAGCTTTTGAGTTTCACGCCCGATTCTCGTTCTGCTACTGGAAGCCAAGCGATGAAGGCTTCGAAAGCCATGTCCTTGCTCGGGAGATTAAGGTGCCAAACGTAACGTGTAGCGGCATCGATGAACGTGATGGTGTAGCTGTATGCTCCTTGTCCAGGTTCGCGATTGTACAGGATGTCGCTGTACACTTTCTCGAGTGGTACGTAAGCTGGTGCGCTGGGGTTGTGGTGAGAAGTAAATGGCCGATGTGGTAAGTCTGCTTCGGGGCAGGTAAAGCACGTTCCACGAGCTCGTCGAAGTTCGCTTCCATCAGTTAGAAGCAGTGAATCTTTGTCGAGCACTCCTGCTCTGATTGTGTTGTTTAACACCGTGTTGCTTGGATGTCCCATTCGTGCGTGCCAGATGTCCGCGCTAGCGCGATGTCCGGGTGAGCGACGATACAAGTCGGAGTTGGAGTAGAAACTTGCGGTGAGTTTGGCACTTCGATGTATTTCTCGTGATGTTGGGTTAAGCTGATGCGCAAGAGTCGGTGGAGTGTCGTCGATTTGAGGTGATGCAGTTGAAGGACCATCGATTGGTGTCGATGTTGCTGCTGCTGCTGCTGTTGTTTTTGCTGCTGCCGATGTTGTCTCTGCTGCTGCCGAGTGTTGAATTGTTGCTAATGCTCTTGTTCGTTCTGCTTCAGGGATGGTGTGTGAATACCAGAAGCCTTCTGGACTGAAGTCGGGGTCAAGATCCGGTGGATGGGTCCAAGAGGTGAAGGTGACGATCCCGTCGCTGTCAGCAGTGCCAAGATCTGGGACGAAGTCGAGGACGAAGACGTTGTTTTTCAGGACCGCCTTCCCGATGTAGAGACCGCCTTTTCCGTGGTATAACTTGAACTCCTGAGTAGTACTATTTGCTTCGAGGTGGATGCCCTTCGCCATCAGTTGACTGACACTCAGTAAGTTGTAACCGAGTCCTTCTGCTATCAAAACCTTTGACATCTGTAATATGACGTTTGTCTCTCGTGACTGAAGTTGCACTACGCCTTGTCGTCGTGTGCGCAGGTTCTGATTGTTGGCGACGGTGATGACGACCTCGCGTTGAAGTTGGTGTTCACGTTGAACAAAGCGTCCTGAAGAGCACATATGCTGTCCACAGCAGCTGTCCAAGAACCACGTATCCTTTCCTGACGGCTCGCTTTGAGCGATGGCTGCATAGGTCGGATTTGGTTGAAGTGACTCGCGGCGAGACGTGCTGTTGTCGAGTTGTTCTTCCGGTGAGTAATATGGTGGTGACTCTGTGATGCAGGAATCGGTCAGCCGTATCATGCAACTGACGATGTTTCTTGTTCCTTGCGCAGGTTGTCCCGTCGATGTTGTTGAGACTTGTTCTTGGGATGTCGGATTCGCTTGCGTTGAGGCGACTTGATTGCTTGAAGGCCGATACTGCCGCTGCGTTGGTACTGACTGTTGTCGGTTGGGGCTGTCAGATTTATATGACATTACTACTGTAGGCTATAGTGGGGTAGCACATATGGGGTACAGTTTTCCTAGGGTTTGCATTTGTACCCAACTTTCCCTTAGTCAATTCATTCCTCGTTTCTTCTCATGGTATCGAGCAGGTTCCCTATGTCAGAATATTATGCTCTAGCCTGTAGTGGGGTGCTCTATAGCGAGTACAACCCTTCTAGGGTTTGCTATTGTATCCTCATTCTTGCTAGTGCAACCCTCCTTCTTCTTAATTCCTCTTAAAATTTTCACATGCTATCAGAGCAGGTCCATCCCCTTGGATCGATCCTGTGGGTGGGCTCACCACCTCGTTGCTTCCGCTGCAACTTCCACTACTACCTTCTGTGCCGCACGCCCCGTGGCGTGCGGCAGTTTTTCTTCCCGCCGTGCGCCCCGAGGCGCGCGGCGGTTTTCTGCCCGCCGTGCGCCCCGTGGCGCGCGGCGGTTCTCTGCCCGCTGTGCGCCCCGAGGCGCGCGGCGGGCTTCTACCCCGTCACTCGCCGCGTCGCCCTCGGGAGGCGCTGCGACGGGCGACGGGGACCCGCGCGTCGCCCCCCGTCGCCCGTCGTGGCCTGCGCGCGGCCCGTACAGCCGGCGCGCGGCCCGTACGGGCTGCGCCAGGCCCGCGCGCGGCCCGTACGGGCTGCGCCAGGCCCGCGCGCGGCTCGGGCCGCCTACGCGCGGTTCGGGAGGCTGTGCCAGGCCCGTGGGCGGCCCTTTCCTCGCTGCCCCTGCCCTCCCCGCTGTCCCCCATGCTTCTGCTGGCGCCCCACCCCTCCTACAGCCCGTTCTCCTGAATTAGGGTTTGGGGGTGAGGGGTATGGGGGTGAAACTACTGTGTGCCGTTCCCTGCTCCTCCTCCTCCTCCGTCTCCCTGTGCTGCAGCTGCCGCTGAGGGGGGGTGGACTTGTTGGAGCCGTTGGAGTGGTGCTAAGGGGGGGTGAAGGGGGAGTGGAGCTAGCGGTGTAGCAGCGGGTGTGTGTCAGGAGGGGTGGTACTGTTTGGGGGAGGTCGAGTGGAGGCAGCAGTCTTGTCGTTAGCAGCAGCAGCAGTCCGGAGGCTACAATCTCCGGTAGTCGCCAGTCGCCCGTGGGTCCGTTGCTCGTCTGCCGCTACTTTTAGCCGCGGGGCCAGTTACCCCAGTAGTCCGGAGCGTTGTTCCGGTAGCCACTGAGCCAGCAGCTCGTCTGTGTGTCTGCAGCGTCAGCAGTCGCCTCCCATCTTCTCTCCCCCACAGTCTCTCCTCCTCCTCACTTGCCCTCTGCGATAGCCTCTAGCTTTGCTCATAATTGTGAACTTTAAACTATTGCTTCTTGAACTTGTGCTCAGAATGTGTGGTGACATTGTGATCCACCCTGAGCTTGTACTGCTTTGCTTGCTCTGCTGATTACACCCCACTTTGGCTATGGGGGTGTGTCAGAATATTATGCTCTAGCCTGTAGTGGGGTGCTCTATAGCGAGTACAATCCTTCTAGGGTTTGCTATTTGTATCCTCATTCTTGCTAGTGCAACCCTCCTTCTTCTTAATTCCTCTTAAAATTTTCACACCCTAGTGGGAACGATTCCTAGGGCCCACCACCACGATTTTTTTTTTCCTGCCCGGAGCGCGCTTCGCTCCGGCCCGAGTCGCGCCCTGTGTGCTCTCCCTACCGTCGCGCCCTCGCTAGGCCCCTCACGGCCCCGTCGCGTCGCCCTTAGCGGCCCTCTCACGGCTCGTCGCGCCGCCCCTACGGCCCTTCGTGCCGCCCTTACGGCCCGTCGCGCCCGTCGCGCCGCCCTTACGGCCCCTCGTGCCGCCCCTTACGGCCCCTCGCGCCGTCCCTTACAGCCCCTCGCGCGGCCCCCTACGCCCCTTACGGCCCCTCCCGCGGCCCCTCACGGCCCCCTACGGCTCGTCGCCGCCCTCAGCGGCCCCGCCACCTACCTGTGCGGCCCCGCCACCTACCTGTGCGGCCCCGCCACCTACCTGCGGCCCCGCCACCTACCAGCGGCCCCGCCACCTACCCGCGGCCCCGCCGCCTACCTGTGCTGGCCCCGCCACCTACCTGCGGCCCCGCCACCTACCAGCAGCCCCGCCACCTACCTGCGGCCCCGCCACCTACTAGCAGCCCCGCCACCTACTAGCGGCCCCGCCACCTACCTTTGCGGCCCCGCCACCTACCTTTGCGGCCCCGCCACCTACCTTTGCGGCCCCGCCGCCTCCTCTCCGCGGCCCCGCCGCCTCCTCCCAGCGGCCCCGGACGCCGCCCTCTCAGCGGCCCCGCCGAGCCGCCCAGCAGCCGAGCCGCCTAGCAGCCGAGCCGCCCAGCAGCCGAGCCGCCCAGCCGCCGAGCCGCCTAGAAGCCGAACCGCCGAGCCGCCCAACAGCCGAGCCGCCGAGCCGCCCAGCAGCCGAGCCGCCGAGCCGCCCAGCAGCCGAACCGCCGAGCCGCCCTGCAGCCGAACCACCCGAGCCGCCCTGTCCGGTAAGAGCAGCGCCTCTTTCACAGCCCTGCCCTCACCCTACTGTTTGCGCTGCTAGTCTACTGCTGTCATGGCTACCCCTAGTGTCCTCGCTT